CAATGTTCGAGATTCGAGTAATGTTCGAGATTCGAGTTTTTCCCCTTTCACACTTCTTCGTCCGATTTCGTTGAAAAGTCCTATCCTTTTGACTGCTTTGAAAATAGTATTCTCTGATTTTCATCGAGAATTTTCTTAGGTGACTTCGGTCATTTAAGATGTAATTAACTATAGGGACTTGCCCTTATAGGAAGTTTTTCCGAACCCAACCTAAAATAAACCCTATTTAATTTTTTGTATTAAATAGGGGAACTTGTCGGCAAATAAAACGGTTTCGCAGACCAAACGGATGTCATATATTTCTTAGTTTATTTGATCGAGTCTCATCATCAAGTCTTATGTTTATCCCTCGGGATAGATACAGGATTTGAGGTAAAGCGCGCTTTCATTTAAACTGCGAAAAATATGAGGTCAGTTTGATTTCATATTTTTCTAAAATTATAAAATTATATGTAAATTAAAACGTCCTTCCAAAGCGGGCGACGTGACTTCACTTCCAGCGACCGATAGCTTCTTACGAGCAACCTCCCCAAACTTTTTAGCTGCCGACACATTTATATACAAATCACTTATTTTTTTATAAATTCACATATATGCCACCTAAACTACACGTTTTACATTTACATTTCTGCTCCTCAACAACATCGATGTACATCAACATCGGCTTCATCAACACTGAAGGCGTCGACATCCAAGTCGGCAAAGGCACCAAGGGTGGGGTTGGGGATTAGGATGGTCGGAGCTGTTTTCAAACACAAAAAAACAGGTTTTTCCTATTTTTCGTTTTCGAAAAACAACAGCACTTTTCTTAAAAAACGACAGAAAAAATAGGCATAAAAACAAAAAAAACATTTTTTTTAATTTTCTGTTTTTAAGAAATCCCAAACAGCCCTTAAGAGTTTTAGTATTTTTTAATATTTTAAATTTATATAAAACCAAATTAATAAAGAAACAAATGGAAAGTAGGATTATAAGACTATAAACACAAAAATTTAGAAGCTTGCTAATCCACATCATGCAATGCCCAACTACATGCTTGCACCAATTGATTCAAATAAACAAACAAAATTAGTAAGTTTCTATATAAAGAAAGAAAACTTGTAAATACAAGCTGATAGTACCTTCAGTGAGAAACTGATAACGGCTATACAAAAAGATTTACAATAGGGTTATTAAATAAAGAAAAATGCAGTCCACATGTACACGCCATAACAAAATGTATTTAAAAATAGCAATTTGGAGAACAGATTACCTTATAAGCATGTGTTATGAGCTAGTCGTGAAATCTAAAAAACAAAGGTATGCACATATTTATTTTTTAGAAAACAAGCTCGTCTATAGAAACTTACTTCATCTCCACCTAAAGAACAGTGCGCCTGATGACCAGGCAAATCAGTAACACGTCCAGGAATCGTATTTTTAGTAGATACTAAAATGAGCTTGGTTAGCCTTTGTATTCTACTCATTAGAGCAGCCTTTGCTTCTTCTTCTTCTTCAAGACGAGATTGCATTTTTACTTGACCCTCTTCCAGCTAGTTAAAACAAAAAATAAATAAATAATCCGGCAAAACACTGATGGTCAGTTAGATTACAGGTCAAGAAAGCAATGACTGAAGAAAGTATAAAAAGACAAAGCAACAGTTTTCACAAACACAAGAAACACATTTTTGCAAGAAAATATTTACTCAAAATAAAATTTTCAGGCAACCAAAAAGGCCTACACAATAAAGCACAATAAATCTTTTTCACATGTAATAGAATTGCAACTAAAATGAACCTTCTGTTTCAAGCTCATAATTTCTTCATGGCCAACACCAGTAAGCATTCCTCTCTTCAGCTGCTCAAGCTCTTGCTTTAAGTTTGATATTTCTCTTTGATACTTCTTAATCAGCGACTTCTCGTCTATAATCTGAACAAACAAAAAAAAAACTGCACTATAAATACGTTTAAAATGCTTTCCCTTAGAACAAACAGCGAAACCAGAAATGATAATGTACCCGATTTCGAGAAGCATAAATCTCAACTCTTTTTGCTCTGCTTGCAAACTTCAATGTATTATGAGTTTCCTCCATATTGCTAGATGCAGGAGTGACAGTGCAAATAAGCTGCATAAGAGATTTTAGCATTCACACTTAATAAATGAAAATTTTATAAACCCAAAAGGGGAATAGTACAATTAGAAAAAGAAAGCAATGCAGCCAAAAGGTCTGAGCAAATTCAGGAGCAAAAAAATGGAAGGTGCTGATATAAAATTATATACTCAAGAAACGCACAGAAACAAGCCCATGGCCACTAAGTGACGACTGTAGAAGGCGAGTCAGCTTAGAATCACGGTAAGGAATATGAGTTGCCCTTCCCTCACTTAGCTTCCCAATTACCTTCAAAACAAGAAGTCATCGAAAAAAAGATTTATCACCATAATTTGCAATCTGCCTGAAGTATGTACATTAATAAGTTAACAAAAACAAGTATTGCGATGACATTCTTATTTTTAACGCGGATGAAAACATGCATCTAGAGTATCATAGAGTAGTCCTGAATGATTAAAAGAAGAAAGCCATGTGTCAAATTAAAACATATATATACAAAAAACGAAGTAATTTTATAGACTTTGTCCAAATCCCAACGTAAGCCCAAGCTCTCAGCAAAATACATATTATAATCTAATGTTGGGAAATTAAAACCAAATGTTAATAAAGGTCATAAAACAATAATGTCCATATAAACAAACAAACAAGTGTGATTATGCCTATATTTGTGAGTCCAATAATATCCCAACATACTCTCTTAATTATTCATAGCCAAGACAAGTTGGGTCAATGTCATGATTCATTGATGTCACCAAATAACAAAAATATCTTCAGTCTAAATGATCTTACACATGCACTAAGACATTGACTCTCCACAAATAATCAGCACCACCAATGTAAATTATTACCCAAAAAAAACAAAAAATATTCATAGCTAAAATCAAACATACTATCATAAAAAAAATACTTTAAGCCTTCTCCAAATCATACCAATTATAGTCAACGGAAGTCCTTGCCATAAAACACTCTCTAAATCAAAGATAAAAATACTACATATTCTTTTCCCCCATAATGGGCAAAGTTAAATCAAACATGTTCCCAGCAAAATTTACGATCCCAAAGCTGAACAATGGAAGAGATGATGCACTTCACTAAATGTTGGGTTCTTTCACCAAAAATTCATAATCAACAGGGAAAAAGGTTTTTCTTATGCAAAAACACGTAGTAATTAGCTTCTGTGCAGCAAACAGTAACGACAAATAATATTCAATATAACTGTGTATTTAATCTCTGTTAGACTAAGACTTCAATTCAAGTAATACATTGGCATTTTATTTACCTCCCACATTTTCTTGGGCAAGAAGACCGTCATGCAGTTAATCTAAAGCAATGGTGCAAGCTATCATAAGCTTGCATGGAATGGGAACAACAAATGCAGAAAAGAAGTTCTTTATGTTTTCAAAGTCCTTGCCATGTTGATCCCAATAATTTGATTATGCATCATTATTGATACCCAAAATGTCAGACATTAAAAAAGAACCACTGCAAAAAAAAAGTTAATCTACCCAAGAAGAACCTTAATTAACCGATATAAATCAAGCATTTCATGTTCAACATTTTAGCTTCCATCTATCTGAGATAGTAACAACTCAAAGCAAATTGGTAATAAATTCAACAAAAGAAATGACATTGAACACCTACTTGATATAACGGCCTTGCCCATGTTGGGAAACATCAATACACCATAACACATTGCACAAGAAATGATATGGCCAAACTTGAATATCAGGTAATATGTAGTAATTCACGCACTATAGTTGCATCAAATAAGAGGCAAAAAGTAAAGGTAAATGGAAGTAACCTCACTAGAACCAAAATCAGGCTCTACTTTACATGAAAAAAACTCTAAAGAGCACAGACCAAATAAAAGAGAATACCACATTTTTCATTCTACTCACATATAGAAACATAGAACTTGTGCAACTCTAGCACAAATTGCTTATAGGAGAAACTAACTAAAACAAACCATCGATGAGTAATACAGCCATTGATGATCCCCGCTCATTAACTCTAAATATTGACATCTACCAGGAAAATGCACAGGATAAAAGCAAGTTCGCCATACATCAGATGTCTTATTGACATTTAAACCACTATAAATATAAACTCTTTCAAGAGATATCAACAATGAAGGGTTTACTCTAAACCCAACATTTAAAGGATGATGTCAAACTAATCACGTAAAAGGTGTAACCACATACTCACCATTCAAATATGACTCGATGTAAACTAGTGTAGGGTACAAAAAAAGATGCATAATAACATGAGCATTGTAATTGAATTTATTGGATCCTGCTCTCTTTTTCCCCTTTATAATGGAAAAAAGAAGAATCTAACAGAAAACCCTAACTACTAGCCCTTGCATTAAAGAGGTTGTCTAACAAGCAAAAAACTGTGAATTGACACATGAACATCTAACTACAACGGACATGTATTATTGCAGAAGCACATCACTAGTTAGGCCGTTGTGCGCTATCATGGTTGCAAATGTTGATTGGCATGTAATGCTTATGATACAAACTTCATGCAATGTAAAAGATTGGGTATCCTTTAAAATGGAATACTCAATACCAGCGCACATACTTCATCCACTAGTTAAGTATAGGAGAAATCAATCCAAAGCCAACCAAGGAGAGACTTACAAAAGGCACCAACCTCAGTGGTTTTGAAATTGGCGTCTAAATACTCGAAAATCACATGCAAGTAAAGCCACGACATTCTCCCTCTAATCGAGGGATTAATAGGATTATAAAAATGCCACTATATACAATCACAACCCAATCTTGCATGTTACCCAATGGCTAAATCTATGAGTTGCAAATCTTGTGAATCATAGGGCACACAGAATGGCATGAAGTCTTTTGATAGACCAAGTGATTCAAAATTAGCCCAAAAACAACCTTTCCTCCTAGGTATACAAGAAAAATACAAAAAATGGTGGCAAACAGGTATTATTTTTTCATGTTATGTCGACTAACTATATTAAGTAGATAATGATTCATAATAACCCAAGAGGACAAAACCATCAAATCTCGATCAAGTTCATCATAATTCCCCAACTATCCACACAAAGCTAATAGTAATAAGTTCTCATCCCTAGACCAAACTATTGCTATTAAAACAAAGCAATGTAGAGCCAAGAGACTTCAATTGGAAGTCATCTCTTGTGATGGAGACAATTACTTGATCAGTGGCTTAGAAAGTCTAGAAATTAGACAATAAATTTCAGTTTTATGGTGAAATATTTAAATAGGGATTTATCTATAATTAGAATCGGGAGATGACTCACAACAAAAACATAAAGCTATATAGTTAAGAAAAAAATTACATCACGACTCTGAACGTCGAGTTACATGTGGAGTCCAATGAAATCATGCCACACACGTGAAGGTGAGAAAAAAAAATAGGTCTGGTAACCTAGGAGAATATTCCTCCCATGTTATTCAAGTGTTATTGATGTGCGTTATTCAAGTGTTATTGATGTGCTATTGTGTTATTATAACACTAAGAATATTCCCAGAACACAATAACACATGAATAACATACAATAAAACCTGAATAACACGAGGGGTTTATTCTCCTGTGTTACCTGTGTTACCGGGAATATTCCTCTGTGGCGAGATTTAATTGAACTCTGCACATAACTACGTGTGGAGTCTTGATGTAATATTTTTTCATATAGTTAGAGTCAAGGCACTATAAAATCTTGGACACCATCCGATTTTGGCATGGTTTATCATCCATCACCGCACCAATATCATGAATGGAGCACCATGGTAGAACAAATATTTAAGAGCACCACCAACTTAGAGCATGTGCATTGAAGCTTAAAGAGAGCCGAGTGATTTCAGTGATCAAAATTGCTCTCCCAAAAATGGAGTAGTTAAATATGAAAGCACACTCCCACAAAAAATCAGCAAATGGTATCAAACAAATTATATACTAATATATCTCTTTAGAAATATCTCAGGTATCATCAATAGAAACACCGTCAAGTTCCTTCCTTCAGGAGTTAAAATTATCACATCTCAATCTAACCTTTCTAGAAATAGAAACACAATCCCAACTTCGAACGATTCCAAATATAATGAGACATACGACCATAAAATCCATTTAATAGTGAAAAAAAAATGGGATTGAAAATTTGAAGTGAATAAATACTGTCATGCGACACTTTTTTAATTTGATCAGTCATTTTCTATTACCTAAAAAAATAGTACACTTCTTCTTAGAAATAGATGTCAACATCTTCAAGGATAACAGTAACATAGAATTTTTAAAGAATCAAAAGAAGTGCACAATGCACAGGTAGAAAATATCAATGACGATGGCCAAGTAAATATAGCGAGAATGAGTCGCACTTGCAGCTCCATTGAACTAGCACAAAAGTCACAAGTTTAAACAATGTGAAATTGGTTTTGATTCAAAATGCTTTAACAAAGCATCAACTTCATTACAAGTTAAAATTGGCACCTACAGTTCCAAGGGTTAAGAGGCTTTTGTTAATAAAAGATCCTTCTTTTCTCCTCTGTCCAGTTGTCTCAGTTTTTGAACTCTCAGAACCTGCTAAATCAATCAGGTTCTACAACAACGAAAAATAAAAAATAAGCTTCAGTAGTTGTAATACACAATCTCATGAAATGATGGTTCGAGTTACCATACAAGTTGAGAATACATCACTCCATCATATTCATCGCCACGAGCACTACTTTCAATCATCTGTCCAAATGAAAGAAAATACATCAGTAATGATGCAAGTGAAGAAGCTTTGATGCCAACAAGAGATGCTATATAGACTTACTACGATTCAAGCAGAAAATCAGAATGTAAAGCAGCACAAGCAAAATTCAAAAAGAAAGAAATGCCACATAAAAATATAACCTTCGGCCAAATTACAAAATAGGGTGATGACATACCAATGTAAATATAGTATGACTTCGACTGCTAAACAAGTTGAAATTATTCGAACCAACGTGTCGATGCTCTACAAAAAAAGGGAAAGAATAAAGAATTAGAAAAAATATGAATGGCAAAACCATGTTAGAGCATTATCTTATTAGTTAGTGATGGAGCCTGCAAGCATAAACCAAAGAGGCAAGTAGACAACAGACCCTAAAACCGCAGAAAAGCTCCTCGGCTTGGATGTTGTTGGCTTATGGATGATGTCAACGCAATGTAGAGTTTGATCAAGATGGTTTGATAAAAAATTAATCTTCATATCACCCCTAACTGTTCGTTTTTATGAATTTTTACCAGTCCCGATAGATGGCATCTAACAATATCAAATGCGTTGATATGCTAATTTTAGGCATGTAACTAATAACACACACACACACACACACACACACACACCCACACACACACACACCACGCAC